GATATGAATATCTGGAAAATCCCAAGAGTTTTTATCATTCCCTTGATTTATTAAAATTGTTACAAGAGAACAAGGGCATAAATCACATAAAATACTTTCTGAGGTCTATAAATCCTAGATAAATTCGTGGATGACCCCTAAAGTAAATGATGATACCTCATTAAGTTTCATCGATTTATGTTGCTGTTTAGTATGACTTTTGATTTTCTTTTTGTTTGCTTCCAATAAATCACAAAACCACTTTAGAGAGTGTGAAAATGGTATCTAACAATTTTCGCAGCTCTTACCAGAGGTGGAAGACTCAGAAAACTAATTTCAGAATTTTTCATAATGCATTTCTATTTTTCCCCGATTTGTGTATTTATAATGGCCTAAAAATAGAAAAAATAGTTCTGCTCATCCAAAATTGATGAAAATTTACCAGAACACCTTGTAGTACAATAGGAGGCTACATAAAAAAATTTATGATTTTTCTCTTCTGTATACTATTTTTCTCCTATTTTCTAAGATTAAATGCACTTAAATACACAAAATCGGATTACACTATATGAAAACCACTTTTGGTATTTTTCCCAGATTATTTACACTGTAAATGAAGTTTACAAAAATTTTGGTAATTTACTTTAACTGTTTATTATTTATTCTCCAATTAATGATTATTTAAGAGGATAAAACAAAGAAAAATAGAAAGACCAACTGAAAAATATCTTTTATATTTTTCACAGCTTTTATATGTATAATAACAGTGTTACAAAAATTTGTAGGTAATTTTGGAAACTTTTTCTATTTATTTCAATTTTTATTAGAATAAACGCTCAAAAATCATAAAATTGGGTTAAACAGTTTGGAAATCCATTTTTATATTTTTCCTAGTTTAATAATGCTTAGTAGCAGTAATAGAAAAAGTTTGGGTAATTTTGGAAACTGTTTTCTATTTATTTCAATTTTTATTAGAATAAATGCACAAAAATCATAAAATTGGGTTAAACAGTTTAGAAATCCATTTTTATATTCTTCCCAGCTCAAGTATGTGTAGTGGCAGTATTATAAAAAGTTTGGGAATTTTTATGCTTTTAATACTATTTTTCATGAATTTATGTTGTTATGAAGGCTTAAAAATTTAGAAAAATAGTTAATCATATCAAAAATTCAAGGGAAATTTTCTGGAAGACCTCTACTGTATTTAGAATGAAAATACAAGGTTTGACAATTTTTGGAAACTGTTTGATAATATTTTACATTTTTAGGAGTTTAAAACACCTTTAAATGTGTTGAAATACCCTAAATTAATATTACTAAATCTGGAAAATTAATATCCAAAATTGTCTTAATCACATGAGTTATAGAATTTCACCATTTCAAAAAAATTGTAACCAATTAATATAAAACCAATATTAGAACATAAATTTGGCATTTCTCTATATGTAGAGTTTAGTATATTAGCATTAGATTTCGACATGGAAACTCACTAGTGTGTTTGATGTCGTAGGATCCCGGTAGTAAGGCGTTGGTGTATTCCGAGGCACCACTTGTACCTACTCGAAACATTGTGAGTATTCACGCACTCCCCTATTTTCAGTTTTTATGTTTTGGGGGTGGAAAAGCATGTCCCGAAAAACTATTATTTGTTCATGTTGTATTTAAATTGATTTGTATCAAACATGATTGCTATTTTATTGCTATATCTCTCTATGTATGTCTATGCAACACGGAACATGAGAACTTATCGTCTTAAGGCCCTTCCCTTATCTCTAACCATTAACTCTTTGAGCCAATGGTCATTATGGATAGCGCTATTAGGAATTGACAACTCCTCACTCGCCCGATTGCTGGAGTGCATGATACCATATAATCTATGGAACGATAAGCATAGATCTTGATAGGGCTTCAGTCATAGGTTTGGTTGAGAACTCATTGTTTGCTCATACACATTATATGGCGATAAACCCGTTTATCAATTATAGCAATCAACTTTGTTTCTCATTATAGCAATGAACTTGGTTTCTCATTAAAGCAATGTACTTGTATTTATGAAAAGTCTTATACCAAATCTTGATTTTATAAACTTGTGAACTCACCAACTATTTTCATAGTTGACGCTCGTTTTACATGCTTTTTCAGGAAATAATTAGTAAGTGGATATAAAGATTCATCATCATAGAGCATGCTGCATCGTGTGGAAGTTATTTTATGAAGTTATATTTTGAACAATGTCATTTTGGAAAACTTGTACTTTGTTTTGTTTAAGCTATGGGTTGTAAACTTTTAAATATTGCTATGGTGATGTATCTTTATCTTTTGCAATGAAACCTTTATCGCTGTCATATCTTGCGTTTCCGCTTTAGCGGGGTGTGACAGAAATGGTATCAGAGCTAAAGTTATAGAGAACATCAGTTTTCTTTAAGAAAACACAACCTATAACCAAAACTTATAAATATTCTTTTTACATCAAACATATTACTAATATAATTAGGTCGGGAGTTGTATCGTTGGACCTCAATTAAACATAGCCTGATCACCTATGTTTAATTAAGGAAAGATTTATACAAAGCTTGAGCTAATTATAATGGGAATATGTTCAACAAAATTTTTGAGAAAACTTTATTTCAAAAATTCAAAAGAAAAAGGGGTGAATTTTGGTGTGTGTAAGCATTGCATATTATAGGCATTCATTGTTATTTATTTCATATCTCATTGAAACTATGTCTCAGTCCACTATGTCGACATCGTCGTCCTCTCGCGCTACCCCCTCGGCTGATGAGTCCGGCTATGTCACCGTTATCCCTCGACGTGATCCCCCCGCCTCGGTGGAAGAAGACCCCTCGGAAGACACGGAAGACACGGGAGACTCGGTGGAGGTCAGCAGTGACAGCGCCCCGAGTCGGCAATGCGAGGCATCGCCCGCATCGGTGTTACCACAGCCACCACTTTATGGGCTTCGTATTCGGAGGACGGCAAGGAAGAGTGTCCCTATCCCGGGAAGGATAGCAACCAGTACAGCAGGACTTGGCACGGCAGGACCCAGTAGGGTAGGACCCAGCATGGCAGGACCGAGAGCACCCCCACCACAGCGAGTTATAGGGATACCTGTCAGGCAGTCAGGTATGACCCCGGAGGAGGCCCGAAGAATGCAGTGGATGGCAGCGGACCTACGTCACAGTCTCGCTGTGATAGCTGGGCATCAGGAGGTTTTGGATGAAGTGTTGACAGGATGGACATCCTGTTTCAGCATTCGATGGAGGCTACTGATACTGCTAGTGCTGCTACACGAGTGGCAGGTCGTGCGCTGATTGTGGTGTTGATGTATCTTGTTGGGATAGCGATTAGTATTTGGTTCTGATTTCAGTATTTTATTTTATTTTGTCATGAAATGAAAACCCATGTTGGGTGTCTTTTGGGAGAAACATTAAAACTTTATTTTGGGATTGATGTATTGTTTTGGTTTTAAGACTATTTCAAATGGTAATGAAGAAGTTTATTTTTATGTTTGAAAACTTTTACTATGAGGTCAAACCCTAGAATCTATTTAGTCAATGGTTGAATAAAAAGATTTTTCTTTTTCTTTCCTTTCTCAAATCTATATGCATAGTATTAATGCAAACCATTAATTTGACAACACTTATGGTTTTCAAAATAGTAGTGAACTAAATATTATACATTATTTTATGTATTTATACGTATTTCTTCTCTTGTGTCTTAGAACCATGTCAGGAAGGCCTAATCGCGGGCGCCCACAGAACGAAACACCCGATGTTGCTCAAGTTGTAGCACAACAACTCACGGCAGCAATCCCAAACATTGTTACTCAAGTAACTGCGGGTCTTAATGCTAACCAAGGAACTAGAGGAACAAATCAGGGAAGCAATGAAAGAGAATGCAACTACAAGTCCTTTATGGCCTGTAAACCTAAGGAATTCCATGGAAAGGAAGGTGCGGTCGGGTTGCTGAAATGGATTGACAGTATGGAGTCGGTCCTTCACATTAGCAAATGTCTCGAACGCAACAAAGTGGAGTATGCAACTTGTCTACTTCAGGATAGGGCATTGACCTGGTGGAATACTTTAGTGCAAACCCGAGGTCGTGCAGCGGCATATCAGCTAACTTGGGAAGACCTAAAGAAGCTGCTGATAGAGGAGTATTGTCCCAAGGATGAAATTCAGAAGCTTGAATCTGAGTTCTGGAACCATTCTATGGTTGGAACACAAATAGAGAAGTACACAGTCCGATTTCATGAACTAGCAAAACTGGTACCTCACATGGTTACTCCTGAGGAGAAACGGATAGATCGTTACATCTGGGGTCTGGCACCAGAGATTCGGGGAATGGTTACTTCAGCAAACCCAACTACCATTCAAAGTGCAGTAAGTCTAGCAAATCGACTAACCAATGATGTGATAAGGACGGGAGCATCGACAAAGGAAAACTCTAGTAGCAAGAGGAAGCCAGCAGATCAGGGAGAGAAGAAGTATGGAGGAAAGTCGGGGAGGAAGCAGAAAGTCTCAAGAAACTTTATGGTAAGAGCCCAGGAGCAAGAACCAGTGAAAACTCAGGAACAGAAAGTCATGGAAGTGCAGTACTCAGGACCGCATCCGAAGTGCAATAAGTGTAACTTCCATCACAAGGGATCTTGCCCAGTGTGCCAAAACTGTAAACAGACAGGCCATTACCCGAAGTATTGTAAGCTGAATAAGGATGGAAAAAGGGCATGTTACGAGTGCGGGAGTACTGATCATCTCCGTAGTGCTTGTCCCAAACTGAACAAGGGGCCTGGTAACAATGGACAAGGCCAAGCTAGGCAAAATTTCCAAGGAAATCAAGGTGGGCGGCCAAGAGGTGTAGCCTTTGTGATTGGTGCAGAAGAAGCTCGTCAGAACCCTGAAGTGATAACAGGTACGTTTCTCCTGAACAATCATTTTGCATCAGTAATATTCTATGCGGGAGCAGATAGGAGTTTCGTTTCTTTAGCATTTAGACTGTTAATTGACTTGAAATCAAGAAAGATGAGGAATAATTATACTATTGAACTTGCTGATGGGTATGGAATTAGGGCTAATGAAATAATTCCTGGTTGTACTCTGAATTTAGCTGATAAACTCTTTAGCATTGACCTAATTCCTATAGAGCTAGGTAGTTTTGATGTAATAGTAGGAATGGATTGGTTATCCAAGAATAGAGCGGACATTGGTTGTTACGAGAAAGTCATTAGGGTACCTCTCCCCAATGAAGAAACCCTTATCATACACGGTGAGAAGCCAGGAAGAAGTTTAAACATTGTATCAAGCATGAAGATTCACAAGTACCTGAAGAAGGATTGTATTGCATTCATGGCCCACGTGATAGAAAGAGAACCTGAAGCTAAGCAACTCAAGGAGATCCCGAATGGTTCAAAACTATCCCGAAGTGTTTCCGGAGGAATTACCCGGTCTACCCCCTCGCAGGCAGGTCGAATTTCGGATCAACTTAATTCCCGGAGCGGCACCGGTAGCAAAAGCACCATATCGCCTCGCGCCATCCGAGATGCAAGAACTGTCCGGACAACTTCAAGAACTTCTAGACAAAGGGTTTATACGACCAAGTTCTTCACCTTGGGGAGCCCCCGTGTTATTCGTCAAAAAGAAAGACGGGTCATTCCGAATGTGTATTGATTACAGAGAATTGAACAAGTTGACAATCAAGAATCGATATCCTCTTCCTCGAATTGATGACTTGTTCGATCAGTTGCAGGGCGCTTCATACTTCTCAAAGATCGACCTCCGATCAGGATATCATCAACTAAGAGTTCACGAAGGAGACATTCATAAAACAACATTTAGAACCCGTTATGGACATTATGAGTTCTTAGTCATGCCTTTTGGACTAACGAACGAGCCAGCTGTTTTCATGGATTTGATGAATAGGGTCTGTAGACCATACCTAGACAATTTTGTAATTGTATTTATCGATGACATACTTGTTTACTCGCAAACCAAAGAAGATCATGAGAGACATGAGAAGCTAGTGTTGGAGCTATTGAAGGAGCAGAAATTGTATGCCAAGTTCACTAAGTGTGAATTCTGGATTCGAGAAGTACATTTCCTTGGTCATGTGGTCGGCGAAAGAGGAATTCATGTAGATCCAGCTAAGATCGAGGCAATCAAGAAGTGGGAAGCCCCCAAAACCCCGACAGAAATACGACAGTTCCTAGGATTAGCTGGGTACTACAGACGCTTCATTGAGAATTTCTCTAGGATTGCTTGACCATTAACATCTTTGACCCAATAGGACAGAAAATTTCTTTGGGAAGAGAAACACGAAGAAGCGTTTCGAATCCTGAAAAACAAGTTGTGCAATGCACCAATTCTGGCCTTACCAGAGGGATCAGAGAACTTTGTAATGTATTGTGATGCGTCTCATCAAGGATTAGGATGTGTGTTAATGCAAAAAGATAAGGTCATTGCGTATGCTTCCAGACAGCTCAAACCGCATGAGAAGAGTTATACAACCCATGATCTAGAACTGCGAGCAATAGTTTTCGCTCTTAAGATATGGAGGCATTATTTGTACGGAACCAAGTGCATCATTTATACCGATCACAAAAGCCTTCAGCATATCCTAGATCAAAAAATGTTAAACATGCGGCAGAGGAGATGGGTAGAGTTGTTTAGTGATTATGACTGTGAGATACGATATCACCCAGGCAAGGCTAACGTAGTATCTGACGCTCTTAGTAGAAAAGAAAGAGTGAAACCTTCCCGTGTGAGAGCTTTGGGAATGGTAATTCAGACAAACTTGAAATCTCAAATCATTGATGCCCAGGAGAAAGCTTTATTCAAGGAAAATCTTCCAGGTGAAACTTTACATGGTTTAGAAGTGAGATTTGAAACCAAACCTGATGGAGTTCGTTATTTTAAGGACAGGGTCTGGATTCCAAGGGTTAACAATCTGAGAGACATAGTACTAGAGGAGTCTCATCGATCTAAATACTCAATCCACCCTGGAGCGAATAAGATGTACAAGGATCTTAAAGAGTACTATTGGTGGCCTGGAATGAAAAGGGATATTGCCTTATATGTTGGGAAGTGTTTAACTTGCTCAATAGTCAAAGCTGAACATCAAAAACCATCCGGCTTATTGCAACAGCCCGAAATTCCCCAATGGAAATGGGAGCAGATATCCATGGATTTCGTTACCAAACTTCCTAGAACTTCTAAAGGTCACGACTCAATTTGGGTCATAGTGGATCGACTGACGAAATCTGCTCACTTTCTCCTCATTCGGGAAGACTTCAAGATGGAAAAATTGGCCCAAATCTACATCGACAAAATTGTTTCTCTGCATGGTGTACCCCTATCTATCATTTCTGATAGAGATAGTCGTTTTACATCACGATTTTGGTGGATGTTACAGAAGGCACTAGGAACCAAGATAAATTTGAGCACAGCTTACCACCCTCAGACAGATGGGCAGACAGAGAGAACAATACAAACATTGGAAGACATGCTACGGGCGTGTGTCATTGAGTTCAAAGGAAATTGGGATACTCATTTGCCTCTAATTGAGTTTTCCTACAATAACAGTCACCACACGAGTATCCAATGTGCTCCATATGAAACATTGTATGGACGCAAGTGTCGTTCGCCCTTATGCTGGACAGAAATCGGAGATAGACAATTGACTAGACTCGACCTTATCCAGGAAACAACTGACAAGATTGCTATCATCAAAGATAGGCTTAAAGTCGCCAGAGATCGTTAGAAAAGTTATGCGGATAATCGTCGAAAACCATTAGAATTCCAAGTTGGAGACAAGGTACTTCTAAAGGTGTCGTCTTGGAAAGGGCTTGTACGTTTTGGTAAGAAAGGAAAACTAAGCCCAAGATATGTTGGACCCTTTGAGATCATTGAAAGGATTGGTCCGGTGGCATATAAACTCCAATTACCCCAAGAGTTAAGCGTCATTCACGACACATTCCACGTCTCCAATCTTAAGAATTGTTTAACCGACGAAGCATTGATAGTACCTCTGGAGGAAATTAAGATCAATGATAAGCTAAACTTTGTTGAGGAACCGATAGAAATCCTTGACAGAGAGGTGAAACAACTTAAGCGGAGTAGGATTCCTATTGTGAAAGTTCGATGGAACTCAAAGCGCGGGCCGGAGTACACCTGGAAGCGTGAGGACTTCATGAAGGAAAAGTATCCACAACTTTTCCCATGCGATGACAAACGATGACATAGAATGAATTTCGGGACGAAATTCTTTTTGAGTGGGGGATACTGTGACAACTGTCAAATTCAGGTCATTGTCGGACTCATGCATCTTTTTATAAAAACCATACATGCACAACATGCCATGGCCTAGTAGTATAAATTAGGTCAAAATCTTGCATGAACTAGGATCCAACTAAAATCTAGGACTAATATACTTGACTCTTACGATTCTAGTAAGTTGTTTAGCTACTGTAGGAAATGCCGATATCCGAATTAGAATAAACTCCAAACATTTGTTACAATTGAAAAATAGTATCAAAACCTTAAAATAAATTAAAATTTTCTAATTTCATTTCATTATGATGGTAAATATCTAACAAAGTTCCAAAAGCCCTAAAGAGCCCAAAAATCCAAATTTATAAACTTTAAAACCTAAAAACTATATAAAATTTGTTATGAACCTCAGTATATCAAATTTAAATAATTAAGTTATGGGATATAATGAAAGACATAAAAATTTAATTATCAAACATTAATCATAATTTATTAGTTAAAAACAAAGATTTTTAAATAAATCAAGAATTACATAAAGAAGCATTTTTATAAAAATTAGGGTTTTATAAAAATTGAAGAGGGAATGCATATAATTTGAATTTTAAGAGAGAGGGAGCCTCTCTCACTCATAAAATCGGCCACCTCCTCCAAGGCACCCCTTTTCCCCAAAAATCTTAATCATTTATCCCTCTCTTACACTTCAACTTCCCCTTCACTCTCTCTCACACTCCACTCTTTACAACACTCAAACTCTCTCTTCCTCTCTCCAAACCCACGAAAATCTCCAGCCAAGAACACCTCTCAACACTCAAATCTTCATCTTCTAAGGTTGTTCTTCAAGGTATTCACGAAAATCCCTCATCTTCCCTCACTTTTCTTTCTTGTTTTAAAGAGTTTTCTTGCACTTTTCATTCTTCTACACCATTCTTTATGAAAATTCATGAACATATCCATGAATGTCGAGTTTGATGATGATGGTGGTAGGGTTTCACCCAAGAACAACATGCATGTTGTTTAATGGTGAAATCCAAGGATCAAAACCTATGTCAAACACTAAAATACGGATTTTTACAAGTTTTAAAGGTTCATATACCTTATGCATTCAAGTATTTCCTTTGAAAACATCACTATGACCAACATATGTCCATGCATGGTCTTCAAACCGTGATGCATGTGATGAACACCAAGCTAAAGAGCTTGATGATCAAAGTGCATTGTTAATAGTGCATGTAAATGATTTTATTTATAAAAAAAATCTAAAAATTCTTTTCAGTTCGAAATAAAATTTCCCCAGATTCCCAGTGAGATGATATGAATATCTGGAAAATCCCAAGAGTTTTTATCATTTCCTTGATTTATTAAAATTGTTACAAGAAAACTAGGGCATAAATCACATAAAATACTTTCTAAGGTCTATAAATCCTAGATAAATTTGTGGATGACTCCTAAAGTAAATGATGACATCTCATTAAGTTTCATCGATTTATGTTGCTGTTTAGTATGACTTTTGATTTTCTTTTTGTTTGGTTCCAATAAATCACAAAACCACTTTAGAGAGTGTGAAAATGGTATCTAACAAATTTCGCAACTCTTACCAGAGGTGGAAGACTCAGGAACATAATTTCAGAATTTGTCATAATGCATTTCTATTTTTCCCCGATTTTTGTATTTATAATGGCCTAAAAATAGAAAAAATAGTAATGCTCATCCATAATTCATGAAAATTTACCAGAACACCGTTTAGTACATTAGGAGGCTACATAAAAATTTTGATGATTTTTCTCTTCTGTATACTATTTTTCTCCTATTTTCTAAGATTAAATGCACTTAAATACACAAAATCGGATTACACTATATGAAAACCACTTTTGGTATTTTTCCCAGATTATTTACACTGTAAATGAAGTTTACAAAAATTTTGGTAATTTACTTTAACTGTTTATTATTTATTCTCCAATTAATGATTATTTAAAAGGATAAAACAAAGAAAAATAGAAAGACCAACTGAAAAATACCTTTTATATTTTTCACTGCTTTTATATGTATAATCACAGTGTTACAAAAATTTTGGGTAATTTTGGAAACTGTTTTCTATTTATTTCAATTTTTATTAGAATAAATGCTAAAAAATCATAAAATTTGGTTAAACAGTTTAGAAATCCATTTTTATATTTTTGCTAGTTTAATAATGCTTAATAGCAGTAATAGAAAAAGTTTGGCTAATTTTGGAAACTGTTTTCGTTTTATTTCAATTTTTATTAGAATAAATGCACAAAAATCATAAAATTGGGTTAAATAGTTTAGAAATCCATTTTTATATTTTTCCCAGGTCAAGTATGTCTAATGGCAGTATTATAAAAAGTTTGGGAATTTTTATGCTTTTAATACTATTTTTCATGAATTTATGTTGTTATGAAGGCTTAAAAATTTAGAAAAATAGTTAACCATATAAAAAATTCAAGGGAAATTTTCTGGAAGATCTCTACTATATTTAGAATGAAAATACAAGGTTTGACAATTTTTGGAAACTGTTTGATAATATTTTACATTTTTAGGAGTTTAAAACACCTTTAAATGTGTTGAAATACCCTAAATTAATATTACTAAATCTGGAAAATTAATATCCAAAATTGTCTTAATCACATGAGTTATAAAATTTCACCATTTCAGAAAAATTATAACCAATTAATATAAAACCAATATTAGAACATAAATTTGGCATTTCTCTATATGTAGAGTTTAGTATATTAGCATTAGATTTCGACATGGAAACTCACTAGTGTGTGTTTGATGTCGTAGGATCCCGGTAGTAAGGCGTTGGTGTATTCCGAGGCACCACTTGTACCTACTCGAAACATTGTGAGTATTCACGCACTCCCCTATTTTTAGTTTTTATGTTTTGGGGTGGAAAAGCATGTCCCAGAAAACTATTATTTGTTCATTGTATTTAAATTGATTTGTATCAAACATGATTGCTATTTTATTGCTATATCTCTCTATGTATATCTATGCAACACGGAACATGAGAACTTATCGTCTTAAGGCCCTTCCCTTACACTTTTCTCTAACCATTAACTCTTTGAGCTAATGGTCATTGTGGATAGCGCTATTAGGAATTGACAACTCCTCACTCGCCCGATTGCTGGAGTGCATGATACCATATAATCTATGGAACGATAAGCATAGATCTTGATAGGGCTTCAGTCATAGGCTTGGTTGAGAACTCATTGTTTTCTCATACACATACAAACTTGTTATTTATTATGGCGATAAACCCGTTTATCAATTATAGCAATCAACTTTTTTTCTCATCATAGCAATGAACTTGGTTTCTCATTAAAGCAATGTACTTGTATTTATTAAAAGTCTTATACCAAATCTTGATTTTATAAACTTGTGAACTCACCAACTATTTTCATAGTTGACGCTCGTTTTACATGCTTTTTCAGGAAATAATTAGTAAGTGGATATAAAGATTCATCATCATAGAGCATGCTGCATCGTGTGGAAGTTATTTTATGAAGTTATATTTTGAACAATGTCATTTTGGAAAACTTGTACTTTTTTTTGTTTAAGCTATGGGTTGTAAACTTTTAAATATTGCTATGGTGATGTATCTTTATCTTTTGCAATGAAACCTTTATCGCTGTCATATCTTGCGTTTCCGCTTTAGCGGGGTGTGACACCCGTAGACTTGCAAGTCCCACTGTAGCGAACAGTAAGGTGTAGGATAGTCAATCCAGTATAGATCTATACACAAATTCACGCTCTCCCTCTAGGAGATTCTGGCTACAAATCGAGCCATGACAGGTGATGCCATGCCCCGAACGATGGTTCACATCTATGTGATTGTATACTTGTATATATAATGTATGTACTAGCTGTATTGTATGTTCTCTCTGTCTAGTATGTATGTATGTTCTCTTAGTTTCTCATAATAGTATGTTCTCTTGTATAATGTATAGTATGTACTAGCTGTATTGTATGTTCTCTCTGTCTAGTATGTATGTATGTTCTCTTAGTTTCTCATAATAGTATGTATTGACTCATGTATGAACTAACTCTTTGTATGTTTCATTGTTCTAGTAATAGTATTAGTAACTTCCTAAACTATACCTATTATAGTTTACTAGTAATGTTGTTTGTATGAATGAACATGTTTGAATACCCTTGCTACCCAAAGGTATTGAACTGAATGAAGGAACTTTTATATCTATATACATATACATAATATATAACTAAGATTCAAACGACCGTCGGACAAACAACCGATACCCTAAGTCCACAACCAAACAAGGAACAGGAAGTAAGTTGAGCTATCAGTCCTAAGTCCTTTCAATCCTACTTATATAACTATATCTATATAGATACACTTTTGACAAAATATAAGTTTAAAAGAGTTTAATAAAAGTATTGAGCATGTAAAAGAGTGTGTAAAACGATTTGAAGTAGTTTGTTTGATAACACAGGTTGAAAAGTAAGAAATCCACT